GAAGCAGAAGAGGGTCAAATCATTGCTTTGACAAAACATAATGGCCTCTTTAGAGTACACTGAAATTTTGAAATGAGGCATTTTTAAGTAAATTGGATAAAAACCTATGTGAGTTATTGAAGTTTTGAAAAAGGTTCTGCTCTATGTCCAGCTCCCTTTTTTGATTTTTCCAAAACTGAAAAAAAAAAAAAACATTTGAACGAAAATAAATGTCAGTCCTTAGGCTTTTGTTCTGACCAAATACAAATAAATGAATTGTCTGATGAAAACATCACTAAGAGTGTTTAGATTTAAATTGTAGGAATGTGGAGAAATGTGTCAGTTTCTAATAGTTAGTTTTTTTTTTTTCAAATTTATCTTACACAGCACATTGTAACACATCCATAATATACTGTATAAGTTGAAAGATTTGACAGCCGTAACAACCAATACTAGATTAGACATAAGAATGAAATAAGAGCCTAAAACAATCCACCACTTCAGAAACATCACACTGTCTTTGACAAATTAGGCAGCATTTTAAGGCAACTCTAAGCCCCAACATAGCTTATCATCTTACTGGTTAAATGGACATCACTGGTTAAATGGAAGTCATGCTTTTCCCTGCTAGACACACTCAACAAATTCTTAAAAGGGCAATGAAGCAAGGGGTTTTTGCTTTAATGTACACCGCTGTTTTTCCATCTATGCTCATTTTGGAGTTGCATCAGACATGTTGCTTTGCTCTTGAAATGATATTATGAATATGTTTGAAGGCAAAACCAGCAGTAAGAACTCTGGTTGGGTTGAAAACAAAACTTAAAGTTGTCCACTAAATCAATAAAGCACAAAGATAATAAAGATTATTTAATACATTAAAGAAAATAGAAGTATAAAAGAATCAGGTTCCTGACCAACCTGTTGGCATTTTGATTGAGTTTCTCCTCAGTGTCTTTTAAAAGCTGTTCATAGTCCTTGTCAATGGATAAATTGGGAAGCAGCACCTCCACAAATGCATGGTCTTCAGGGAAGTCACCTGGCCACTCCATTCTCTGCTATGAACACAGCAGAAACAAAGAGATATGGAGATGAACTTGCAGTAAAAACAGTGATAAACTACACATTGAGTGTTCTACATTTAGAAATTGATTTACATAGCACTGCTGCAAATGTAGACAGATACCAATTTGTAGCACTGTCTCACCATAGTTGTCTGGTAGGAATCATTACCCTTGTATTTACAAACCCACAGCCCTGTGGTCCACAATAATTTGATATTTTCTTTAAAAAGAGAAGTCTTGTAAAGTGCCACAAATGAATTGCACCCCAAGGACGTGGAACAAAGTGAAGCTTATCATCGACAAAAAACAGTTTCTTCCAGTTCCCCTCTTCTTTCCTCAGAATGTAATTTACTGTAGTAGGAGAACCCTTGATCAAAATTCATTGCTTCAGCCTCTAACTATTTCCACCTACTGACACTGTAGTGAGTTAACACGGAGAAAAAGAAATAGACCAAATAAATAAACAATGAGGTGAGATGCTCTTCACTCAGGGCTTTAAATAAACAACTCATCTCTGTGCATCTCTCAGAACCGGGGAGCCACCCCCTCCACCCCTGTGGTGCTTAACGCTTATGCTAACAGCCAATCCCACGCCGGTGCCGTGTTACTGAGTCTCATATCAACACTGTCATCAACACTAGTCAAGTGGAAGGTAATGGAGAGTGTCTGTGTCAATTTGGCTTTCTCACACTCCGCCTCTCACCCCTTCCTCGTCATCTGCTCTGATTTTAATAATTCCTGTCAAACTCGAAACAGCTCCCTGCACTCATCTCTGCTTCTTCCCTGCTTCATACCGTCCATGCCACTCTCCGTGACAGGGCAGACAGGAAACTCAACATTCATTTAGTGTGCACAAAGGGAGGCCTGTCCGGCTGGACAAATATTATTTTCCTCTGCTGACAGCCTCACCAGTTAAGCTTGTCCTTTATTGTTTTCTACTCTCTTTTTCTCCTCTCATGCTGTTTCCCCTCATCATCACACTCCCTATGTGCTACATTCTGAAAAAGGGGTTTATACACAGCCTTTATAGAATGGGAAGGAGATTTTCAAACCTCGGATTAGGAACTAAACATTGTAATTATATGGCCTGATTCATACGTGTTTGTGTGTGACACACATACACAGGGTCAAATTGTGAACAGTGTTTGTGTCTGCAGCAGACGTTTACCTGCTGTTTTGCCAAAATATTATTTGTTATCTTAAGCAATGGTGTGTAAATACAGTACATGTGTGTCTCTGTGTCAGGATTCCCACGGCAGCTCACTGGGCCTCATTAGTACTATACTTTAAATCAAGCAGTCTCCATTGTCTTGTCATTAGCTCTTTACAAAGCAGATGTTGGAGAAGCCCCTGTGTGTTTCACTGAGTTGCAACAAGGACAACAGGGCCTTTGCTGTCTGAGAAAATGGCTCTACAGCTATTAAACACAGGAACACACTCACATCACTGTCGCTTTACCTCCCCCTTACTCCCTCTCTCTTATTCCTTCTCTCGTTCTCGCTCCCTTTCACCTGTCTTCTTCAGCTTTGCAAACGCATAGACCTATTTACAGTAATGAGTTTGTCCTGAAATATTTAGCAGTACCTCCCCCAGGCTGCCGCTTTAAAGCCACTTAGAGCATGTCAAGTTAAAGTCAACATTATTTTAAAGGGGGTACCTAACAGTCTGCTGTAAAGGAAATATAATAAATTAAATAGGTCCACGGTTGAAAATCACAACAAGGCTGAGAACTATCTTATGTATTCCCAGGAGGAAACCTGGTCACACGGTTACTTTGCAACCATGTGACTCTGGCAAACTGTAATAGTTTTGACTGATTTTCCTTTGTACATTTAGTCCTGTCTGCTGAGTGTTTGGGGCCAGAACACTACTGTCATTGAATTATACTGGTCACTTCTGTTTTTCCCCTACAGGGAACACTGTACATGAATATAACATTAAAATATGTCTTGTAATGTTATTAGGTAAACTGCAGCACAAACATCAACAAATACCTGTGCAGGATCATCTTACACAGGGGGAATGAATAATACATGATTTAATCTTGATATTACTTGTCGTCACTGTATCATCATCATCATTCAACAGTATTGGTACAATGACAATACAGACCATAACTAAATAATAAATAAATAAAATGAATTATGATAAGCAATGAGTGAATTACAGCAACTGGGAAAAAAGACAGCATTGTTGCACTGAAATAATATATCAAATAAAAGATGTTTGGATAGGGAATAGCACAACATGATATGGGAAACTGATAAGGGAAAACTGCATTTTATAAGTCAAGACAAAACTACGAAGACGAAGATAAAATTGTTGTACTTATTTATCTTCACAAGACTAATATATAATAAATAGTTGTTTCAAACCCCCCAAATTTAGTCAATTTTCTCTCACCGATGACCACATGCTGACCTACACTGTTCCCACATTTAGTTAATCAGAATTGATTAACTAAATAAAGAAATTAAATGTTGCCATATGTTCTCTTTCTTTAATATGTAAGGAAAAAAACAACAACTGAACAACAAAATTATTTACAACTTATACATATATATGTAGTATATACACAGTAAATGGATATTTTAGATATTCCTACTGTTATTTAGTTGATTTATAGTATAAATATATGTATACTGACAAAAAGTATATTATATATATGGGCTGATAGTACACGTTTTTGTACATATTTGTAATATATACTGTATACAGTATATACGGTAGGTCTCCATTAAGGACCGCTCATGGAGGGATTTGGGCTCAATTTGTCAAGGATGCACAACGTGAAGTTGTGGGAATTGTGTTGGCCTTGCGTAGTTAACATTTATATATACAGTATACTATGAATGTGACAATTGAGAAAGTAATCGGATAGAACCTCATGCGCACAGAACTTAAATAACAACAAAACTAATAATAAGACGTGCGACCTAATATGAGGTTGTAGTAATGAAGTAAAGAATGCTACATATTTGTATAAAGCTGCATTTCTATACTTGACTCTTAAATGACACACAGGCAGAAAATAAATGTTTGAACTGAGATCGATTTGCGATTGCTTTGTATCTTACCTTTGGCAAGCACCTTTTATTTGCCTCTTGTTTAAAATAGTGATTCCAACACAGTTCCTAATATGACCATCGTCATTTTCGCACATTCAGGCTAAAAATACTCAGCAATAAAGACGAATTATGTAGCACATGATTCATCGACATCGACACAAAGCGATTGTGAGCTGAACGATGCCATTTCTGAACCACCTCTATAGGTAAGCGTACTATTTATACACAGTTTCGATCTAAATCAAACAAGTCGTATATGTCTACGATGATTTCCGTTATTCAGACCGTGGTGTAACGATAACAATTATCCTGTGTTTTTCTGGGACAGCAAAGCGTCCGTAACAACCACCCGGAAGCAGTATTTTTAAACTTCCGGTACAACAAAAACTCGCCGCTGACAAAAATGCTTTTAGTTTTAATCGTCTACTAAATTCTAACTATTTACTAGACAAATAATCTTTTTTTTTTTTTGATTTTTTTAGACATGTGGGTTTGTAGTAGCAACTCAAATAATTTTACATTTTGCAGTGTTACAGAATTTGTTGACTAACAGTAATATAGTGTGTCCCAATCTCTTTTAATATATTATTTTTTTATATCGTTATTATACATTTTTAATAAAGATATAAAAAGTGAAACTTTCTGTCAATGGATCAGTCTATTTTAACAAACTAAGGGGGGTAAGGATTGTCAGTATTGATTTTATATTGTCTGTGACCTGTAGCAAACATTAAATATGAAAATAAATGTACCAAGATCACTATTCTTTTGCTGTTTATAGCATATCTAGCACTACTAATACCCACACGACGAAGATATATAATACCCTCCACCCTATCCCTCCCACAAATCTTCCATAGTGGGCTGTGCCGTGATGTCGCTCGGTCAACATAAGGAACAAGCGGGGAACTAGCGCTGAACTGAAACTAATTTACCACGTGTTAAAAAAAATAAATGATCCAAATGTGTTTTTTCTCGAATCGAATATTTTATTATTGGCAAGACAAAAGTGATGCTGTAATACAAACTGCTATCTCTGGAGTTTTGACGCGCCTGTTTCTAACAGTAAGTACTGTGAAAGCGAAGTATATGACAGTTATGTTACAATGACACTATGTATTTAAGTAGTAGCCACATTCTAGTAGCCACATTCTACAAGTAGTAGAATTTTACATAAAAAACACGTGAAAAAAATGTAACGTGTTTGTCGGTTCCATTTCCAACAGTTTTGTAAAGAACTAAAACGTTGTTATATCGGGTTATTGTACTTGACTGCACTTAGACAAACAGTTGACGGAGGTCAAATGTTTTCAAATTAGTTTTTGTTTTGTTGTTGATTGCAGTCCACTTGACATACCGGTTGCAAAAGTCATTGTGCATAGAACGAGCATCCACTAAAGGCTCCATTTCTGGAAACAATGATCGTTCCTGACTCACCACTACATATCAATGAGTGGGAATAAGTGCTCTATTGCAAATAGATCTTTGATGTATCTCTCTAATTCGGAATATCGCTATCTCGGAATCTGTAAATTACGTTTTTATTTATGTGTATTTACTTTTACCTTGCTGTAATAAATATATTCTACTTTTGTTTGTTTGTTTCATTGTCAGAATGGAGAGCTGCACACATATTTTCCAGATCTCTGGCATTAAGAATTGTGATAAGAAGAGGGATTTAATCCAGGGAATTCAGCACCTGAGTGGGAAATACTTGGGTGGCTCAGTGAGTAAAGATTTCTCCTAAACAATTTCCAGATTTTATTGGCAGACAACTAATTTTCATAGAAATACTTTTTGATGTAAGTTACCAAGTTATTACAAAGTTACAATATTCAAATGACTTTTTATGTGGCATCATGCAGTGCATTGTTTTTCTACCATAGTTTATTAATGATAAATGACTGACATTTACATTTTTAAGTTTTTCAACGTTTCAAACATTAATTTCATTTTTCTTGACAACCTCAAAATATATGTTGTTAAGTGGATTTTTTGTATTACCTTAGCTTTGGATAAGTTTCTATGAACATGCTTTATAAACAGATACATTGCCTTTCTTTCAGATCTATCAACAAGCCATCACCCATCTCATAATTCCTGAAGTTATCTCAAGTGAAAAGTTCTTTGCAGCATGTGCTGCAGGTCAGTTACAATGATTACAATTCAACACTGTATTCTCTAAATTCATTGTGACCACTTCTTACAGTTACTTTGTAATTATTGGAAGCCTAAAGAGTTACCAAACAAATATTTTTTCATTGTTTCATGTTATCCTTGTCCTTCAGGAAAGTGGGTCGTGACTCCAGACTATGTGTTGGACAGTCTTCAAAACGGTTGCTGGCTCACAGAGGACCAATATGAGGTGTCCATTGGCACTGATTCCCCCTCTGCCTTTTACCCTGTCAGACAGTGGAGGGAGAAGGTGGCTAGTAGGAGAATAACTGGGGCCTTTGAAGGATGGAGGGTTCTCCTCATGGTCCAAGAACCCTCTCGTAGAGACATGTTTAAAAGGTACAACAACACAGAACAACGTGACATCTGTGGGCCGGTGTTTGAATAAAATACAACCAATAAACATATGAGTGTGACATATATTTATCATTATTTAATCTCTCATAGGCTGCTGGTAGCAGGAAAGGCCGAAGTGTACGACATCCCTCCTCCATCTCATTCCTCCATTACTCATGTCATGGCTAAACCCATTACAGAAAACTCACAATCATACAGTACTCCATGCTACTCTGTCACCCACGTTATCCAGCACCTGTTTGGGGTAAGTTAGATTAGCTTGTGAAGGCATTGTGTTGTAATGTGATTGTGGGGGAAGTGAAACTTTAACTTGTAAAAACTGCATGTAATAACTTTTCCATAGATTGTTCAATTCTACAGAATATACACTGAAAAAGCTGCTTTTTGACCAAGTTAAACATGTATGATCAATTTTGTCTGTTTTAAATTACATTTCAGATTTCATTCATTCACTGAATGCCACTGAAATAATAATAAGGGCAAAGTAACAGTAGCTTTTTCTCTGCTTCACACCGTATGTTTAAACCAGGATAGATTCTGTAACATGGTTTCCTTAAAGCCTTTTTAATGTAAAATTACCTGATTTTATTTTTTCTTTGGCAGAGACATTATGTGCACATGAACTTTGCAAACATAAACGTAACAGACAGTCATCCAACAGAGATAAAAAAACCCAGTGTGGCTGATATTGACCTCTCTGAACTAGAAGCAGAGCTCAGAGATTATGTCATTCAACACCAGGTGTGTATGTATGTTTTTTTCTTAAGTGAGTGACTCAAAAAAATTAACTGCTTTTTTTTATAAATGTTGCGTTGCATTCAATGCATTCAACTCTTTTCAAATGCTTTTTCTACACTTCAACCTTTGCTTTTGAAGTTAATAACAAAACGTTTTCTTTAGAGCCGTCCAAGGCTGCAATTCCTGGAGTTTCTGGGTTACCATGACCCCTACTGTTCACAGTTACAGGTACACGTACATACATCAAACACCACATTTCCCCTACACTGATAATCTCTACACATCTTTGAAATAACTTAGATTGGGCCAATCATTTCAGTTTCCTCTATGTCATACATTTCAGTAGAAAGTGGCGTCTGAGGCAAGTGAACATCTTACTTAGGTCACCGATTTAACTAGCACTGTCAGATGATTGCTGCATTTTGATTGGCAGACCTATTAACAATACTCCTCACTGTCCTGTCCATACCTCCCTTGAGTGGATCTCTGTCAAACTGCTATTATAGGTGCTCATGGATTTTTATGCTGTACTTTGCAAGTCCATATGCTATTTGCCAATAAGTGACAGTCAGAAATGACCCCCCCAGGAACTTCTGATGCCCATTCTCCTCCTATTTCCATTACCCTTCTGCCCTCTCCCTTTTCTCTTCTCCTTGTACCGTCCGTCTCTTTAAGTGTCACCATTTCCTCCTCTTTTCCATACACCACTTACATTTCATCACTGTTCTTTTTTTTATCCCTCCAGGCAACAGAAACAGACTTTAGCAATGTTGGCAGTATGATTGAGTGTGGTCTCTTTGCTGAAGCCTTGGACTCAATCAGAAGTGCTGTGCTCCCCGGTCTGCTGCCACCAGTGGCTTATGTCATCTCACTTTTAGAATACGCTCTGCAGGTAGGGATCTGAATTAGCAGAGGAGGAAATTACATCTGGTATTACATGTGCTTAAGGGAATACACAACCATCATCCCTGCTCTCTCATCATTAAGAAAATAGATATACAGAATTTTGACTTAGTTAATACCTGATTAGCCAGCTATACATTTTATATGACATGTTATCTCTATATTTTGCAGGGAGACACCACGCCGTACTTTCAGAAAAACTTCTTGCAGTTCATGATTAACCTGCTTCTTAACAACCCTCCTTTGTTGGGAAACAAAGGGAAAACATATTTTAAGCAGGTGTTGCAGTGCCCTCGGTGTAAGATGGGAATCTGGCCTTTCTTACAGTCAACCATCAGGTAACTGATGTTGCATCAAAGTTTTTCTTTGTAAAAATCCACTGACCAGAAGAATAAAGGCTGCTTTATCTCAGTCGTAGTGAGAACTTTTTACACTCTATCACTGTGCATTCCCAGTCGCTGCCTGTCCAGTGAAGCCACATGTCACCCTCTCCCTGCACCTGCCTCTCCAGCACTAATACGTTTCTACTGTGACCTTGTGACATTTGTCCTCCGGCTCTTCCAAGTGGAGCTCCACTCTGTCACAGCAGGGTAAAAACCTACATATGCACTTTCTGTTGTATTTGATCTCTAAGATCCCAATGTATATTTTTGAATAAATCAGATTAGACCTGAGTTTTCTGCCATGACATTATTCACCCCTGTCTTTCTCTCTCGCTCAGAGATTTTGGACAGCCTCAGGGAACTGGAGTTTCTAAGGCCCCTGCATCAGGCTTTTTGCTTAACGCTACGTTTTGGACTTTCTGGGAGCGCGCTACTCTGCTGTCTCAGTCTGTGAAACAACTTTGTCACCTTTTGTTTCAGGCTGCCACTAAGGTAGTGAGGAATAAAACACTATTATCTATCTCTACTGTATCTTTTACTGTTCAAGCTGCAGATGGCAAACTAAATATTTTTCTTCTGCTGCTACTCTAAAGGCCAGCATAGTTGAAAGCAGACGTTTGTGTGTGCGTACGCTTCTGGAAAAACAAGTGACCAGAGTGTTAACATTGTATACTCTAGAGCAGGGATCACCACCGCCAGAATCGTTCTGGACAGACACCTTGACAGTCGGACACTCAAATAAAATAATATTAATAATAATAATAAAAATCACATTTTTGTCTTACATTATTATTTAATGTTTATTTTTTAATCCAGTCTTGGGCCAAATTGGACAGTTCAATAGGCTAGATCAGGCCTGTGTGTGCAAAACATTCCCAAAAAATGTGTATGCTCGCCAACTAGTTCCGGAGTGAAATTTGTTTTAACACCCTACGTCAGAATGGTAAAACAAGACTTTCTTAAGAAACTTATGGGACATGGTGACAAAACTACGGAAACGGCATAGGTTGAGGACGTCGTAAACTAAGGATCCCTTGCACTAATGATACAGTAATGACCTGATGATAGTGTCATTATAAAGTATAATAATTCAAAATAAAATGTACAATAGTTTAGATGGGTCCACCTCTCGTTTTGATGATATTCAACATATGTGTCTTGGATAACTTGTATAATTGATACAAACATTTTTTTTTATAATGGAGGAGTTCACTGAAAAGGATGAGAGGCAGAGTCTACACCTGACTGACACACTGTTGAATTTCCTGTCAGTGGTGGTGGAGTTCTGGTGTCACCAGCATAATAAACTCAACTGGAACCTGGCATATAAAGGCCTCAAAGACCTGGTCGAGCATCTTGCTGTCGTGAGTCGTGGTATGGAGTTGAGCATCATAATTGTCATTGAAATCATATGGAATACATTTTTGATACTAATGATCTTTTGCTTTTCCACACTTTCTTTCCCTGTTGTGTTCTGCAGATGTGACTCCAGCTGTCGCCGTCGAACTTGTTGTCAGAGTTTCTTCCACTAGACTGAAAATGACAATGGCTGACGCTGTATTCAGGAGTCTCTGCTGCAGAAACGGCTTCACCTTGGAAGACAATTCCTTGTCTCTCAAGGAAATGGTACATGGAGGTGTTTTTATAAAACGCAGATGTTTGACCTCAGAAACAGTTGCAGTAGGATGTTACATAGAAAATAATCTGCAGATGTGTTCAACTCATTGTACGCATAAGGTTACAGGAGAACATCTGGGTTTCTCATTCATTGTCTGGGTCTTTGTGCATCTGCAGTTTCCCAAAGATGAAGATTACTGAAAATTCAAAGGTGGCATTTTAACCCTCTTTTGCCCATGTGACATACTTCTGACAGGTGCTGTCATACCTGCCTTTTCTGGGACATTTTGCTCACAGCCCAAGTGATGTTCACCGCAGAACTGAACCCACCTCGACTACCCACAGCGGCATTAAGCAGGAGACTAACTGCAGGTCAGTTTGTAGATGGCAGAGGTTTTACTACAGTAGATGCCAAAAGGCGAACGTGTGCTAATGTACAGGTGTGGGAACTGCATCAAAGGACGATATGTTAATGTCATCATAGAATTTTAATTGAAATTTGTCTAGTGTCGTAGTTGAATTGCCTTTCTATCATATATTGTATCATATATATATATACAGTATGTATGTGCAGTGTTGATCTTGCTTAGTTTTGTTCTTAGAAAAGGACTAAGACAAAAATATTAATGGGTAAAAACAGGTATACAACTTTAAATGAGGTTGTCCTTAACATTTAAAATAGCTTAGTGAAGGTCTTTCTTTAATATTTTTTTTCATATTTTTCATTTTTAGGTCATTTTTTGTAATTGTAAATTTGTTTGTAATTTATTGTTAAAAGCCACACATTCTTTTGCTATTGTAGACACATTAACCTTGAAATTAATGCACACACATCCAGATGCTAGAGTCTGTGCCCTATTATAGTGTCGCCTCTTAAAACACTGTGATTGTAGAGCACAGCCAGTACAGCCCAAAACACACAGGTGTTGTAAAAGCAAATCTGTCACCTTCTGCTACCTCATCAAAGCGGGTGGTTCGCTCCTTTCACCTCCTCCACGCTGGTTTGTGTGTTTAAAATAACAGATATATTTTAACCAGGAGTCTTTACACTGACTCTTTTGTGAAGTTTCCACCAACAGATTTAAGGGCATTCAAAACAAAATTAGGCCAAAACGAGTGTAAATGGACAGATTTGATGAGAAATAAGGGTGGAAAGGAACAAAGGAACACCTGGAGAGAAGAGCAGTGTGTGCGTGTGTGCTTGCTAAGAGGCAGAGATGCATGAATGGAGAAGAAGCTCAGGGGAAGTTTGAGAAAGAGGCAAATAGAGGTCAGACACAGTGCAAGGAGTTGGCATGTGATGGGTCATGCCCAGGTCTGATCCTATCAGCGTGTGCGGGCTGACAGAAGGGCTGCAACAGGAGGTTAGACCCATCCTTGCTCTCTTGCGCTGTCTCTCTCTGTCTCTCGCTCGCTCTCTCGGCCCCTCTCCCTAAGTTGCACACACACACACACACACACACACACACACACACACACACACATCCTCTGATGAGTCTGATTGGGTTATGGAGCTGACAGATAGAGAGAATTGCACATCCCATTAGGCCTTTTGTCTCTGACCATCAGATCTCTGCCTCTGCCTTAATCTTCCCTCCTGCATACTAAGCACTGCTCTGAATGCAATCTCTCACACACACAGACTCAGTTACTCTCCACACCCCATGTCAGACATCTGCTATTCCACTAGCAGGTAGTTGGCCTGGAGTTGGGGCAGGAGTTGTCAGGGGGCAAGTTCATGGAAAGGCTACTGGTTCAAGTCTTGACCAGATCCAACTTTCCTTTACCCTAGCATAGCAGCTTGCACTTCTTAAACTGTGTAATTCTGTAAACAAAAACCATGTCAACAAAGCAAAAAATCTTCATAAGACAAAGAGACAAACATCTATGTGTTTCTATACTTTTAAAAGGTAATACAGGCCAAATATTTTGGTATTTTGTTTTCTGAGAGTGAGGGAAATGAAAACAGTAGGAATAGTAAAACTCAGAAGCAGAGCACGTGCTTCTTCTGCACTGGTACACCCGCATGCATTAGGGCACGTGTCCAAGCCACACTAAGTCGTCAGCATGGCTGAATGACTGACTGTTTATACAGCTGTTTGACTCTCTGGCTTCGTCACTGGTTCCATGGTAGTGAGTGATTTTAAGCAGGAAAAAATCAAACAATTAAACTTGGGTTTTCCCCTTTTAACTAAGGTCTGTGATCCACTGATATCATTCCAAGTCCCATTAATCAGTGTCATTTCTTTAGACAAATCACGTGACCAAAACCTGTGTGTAGTCAATGTCAGCGAGAACTGCTCTGCTATTGGATTAACCTCATTTTTTAAGTAATCTGCCAAATATTTTGATATTTTTTTGATGTTTAGAGCATAAAATTGTGTAAAAAGATTGGTGTTTTCACCCACTACCAAATAGAAAGTTGACTACAATATGTTTTTTTTTTCCAGCTTATGGGTGCTAACTTGTACTGGTGATTAACGGGGACTATTTATGCAAATACATGTTTTCTCATATAGATGTTTTTCCAACTAATTGACTTTTGTATCTCAATTCTACATCGTAGAACCAAGGACCCGCTGTATCAAGTAGTTCGTTTTAAATCAAATAATGGGCTCAGTAGAAATATTATCAGACAAAATACCATAGAAATGATTACATTAATGAATCTTGTTTTTGATTTTTAAACCACTATTTGTTCCTTCAAAATCTATAGCCCCATGAGAGACAATGGAAGTTTTACTTCTCCTTATGAAATACACGCTCATACTGTGTCATTGGTCATGCAGCAGACTTCCTCATCATTCCCTTATATAGTTTATTGAACTCGGCCTCCAGGGGATCACAGTGCCCCAGGCTCAGAAATGATCCTGGGCAATCTCAAGTAGGCCATGAGAGAAGGAGAAATAGAGGCATATACATGCCAAGCACTGTCAACTTCTGCAACCTACAAGGACAGGGGACACTTGGGTGAAGTGGTTTGAAATTAAAAGCATTGAACATTCATCCTAGACACTCTTATGGATTCTTTTTAAA